GCCATTAGTATTAGTAATGTTGTGGCCTTCAGAAGCGGTAGGTTCCCAGTGTGTGCCTGTTACATTTTATTTGGTATAGGGTCCACATGCCCTTCTGAAGTCAAATATCATGATGATGAAGGAAAAATATGAAATAGCCTCTGTATGTAAAGAGTAATCTGTTAGAGTTAATAGAGGAAGGGAACTTCTTAGATAAAATGCTGGGAATAAATCTCTCGGGCAATGTGCAGGAGCATTGTGAAGACATCAGGAGTCTGCTGAGAGCCGCAAAACAAACTTGGAACAAAAAGTCCCAATTTGTTCTTTGAAAAATTGATCCTCAGTGGACTGTTAGGTGCAGCAAACCACTGGCACATGTTTGCCGATGCAACAGATCTGCACGTCCTGTGCATGTATCCCAGAACTTAAACGTTTATTCTCATAAAGATGTCAATTCTCCCTGACTCCGTAGGCTTAACATTTATTTATTTTTTTTTTTTTTGAGACGGAGTTTCGCTCTTGTTACCCAGGCTGGAGTGCAATGGCGCGATCTCCGCTCACCGCAACCTCCGCCTCCTGGGCTCAGGCAATTCTCCTGCCTCAGCCTCCTGAGTAGCTGGGATTACAGGCACGTGCCACCATGCCCAGCTAATGTTTTGTGTTTTTAGTAGAGACGGGGTTTCACCTTGTTGACCAGGATGGTCTTGATCTCTCGATCTGGTGATCCACCCGCCTCGGCCTCCCAAAGTGCTGGGATTACAGGCTTCAGCCACCGCGCCCAGCGGCTTAACATTTTATAAAAATTTTAGAGTTCTTCTCCCAATATGGACAAGCTGAGAATTCTCAGCAAATCTTAAACAATTTGGAGAGGAGCACAATTTTTAAGGAAAAGAATACAAAATTAAGAAAATAAGGTAGAAAAGCTAACATTAACTACAAACAAAATTATGAATATTGAAAAGCTGACAAATATAACACATTACCAACTTAAATTCAGAAAAATATGTGTGTATATATATGTGTGTGTATATATACACACACACACACACACACACACACACACATTTTTTTTTTTTGAGACGAAATCTCACTGTCACCTAGGCTGGATACAGGGGTGCAATCTTGGCTCACTGCAACCTCTGCCTCCTGGGTTCAAGCGGTTCTCCTGCCTCAGCCTCCCGAGTAGCTGGGATTACAGGCAGGTGCCACCATGCCCAGCTAATTTTTATATTTTTAGTGCAGGTGGGATTTCACCATGTTGGTCAGGCTTCTTTGGAACTCTTGACCTCAGGTGATCCACCCATCTTGGCCTCCCAAAGTGCTGGGATTACAGGCGTGAGCTTCTTGATGTCAGAATAATTTGCTTCTTGATGTTAGAATAATTTCTATTAATTTCATTTTTCATCTTTAATCACCCTTGCTTCATAGTTCAGTAATTTTCTCTATTTTCTGCTAAACTCATCATATGTCTAAATTAGGAATTGGACAATTTATATTTTTTTCTATATTAGTCTAAAATTGTTTTCTGAATTGCAGTTAAAATGGTGTATTCAACCTCTGTTAACTTTAAAAATATTGACATTTAATTAACATACCACAAAACTCACCCTTTGAAAATATGCACAATTTGCTGGCTTTTTAGAGTATTCACAAAGTTGTACAATAGTCACCATTGTCTATCTTCAGAACATTTTCATCATCCCCAGGAGAAATCTCTTAATCATAGCAGCCATTCTCCATTTTCCTCTTCTTTCAGCCCTTTGCAGTCACTAATCTACTTTGTGTGATTTGCCTACTCTGAACATTTCATATAAATAGAATTACGCAACATGTGAACATTTGTGCAAGCTTTACTAAATTTTAAATGAACTTTTTGTATTCATGCTCTGGTTTTCCTTCTGAGTCAGAAAATATGAGTGTTTAAGATGTTGTGTACTTCGTGCTACAAGATCTTAATGCTTTACAATGAGCAAACCATCTCACTATGTTTAGATTCTTGAATACTGAGTTGGCCTGGGTGATTAAAATACTGCATGTAATGTACAAGATAAATTCAAGAAGAACATGTAACTTGCAAAATCTGAAGTAGTCAGCAACTTCAGAGACTGGGAAGGCAGCTTTCCCAGGGATGACTAAGTGATAAACGAAACTGTGTCCAGAATGTAAGTACTTACTACTGTTTTTAAAGAGTGCTGGAAACTTCATGTCTTCTGATAGTCATGTTTTTACATGACTGATTGTAAATGCCAGATACAGGTTAAAGTTGCTCAGAACTTACTCTGTTAAAAAGACAAAACCGCATTTGAATTATTCTGTGTATACTTTAATTTCAGATGAATTTTGACAGTTAAAAGTTGGTTTGCTGCATAACAAATGATTTTTCTATTTTAGAGTAGCACACAATAATGGGATACTCAAAGCAATTTGCTACCGGCGAAGTTGTAGCAATGATATTATTTGGTGTTTGGTTTGTTTACTGAGTTTTCACTTAATTTTATACACATTTTCCCTTATTTTGATTAATTCTCCATGAGCTATTTTGGATAAACAAGTCACATTTGTCCTTCTGCTTTTACAGTTTTCCAGGCACTGATGTAAAAACCGATTAAATGTAGCAATTAATTGGATGATTCCTGGAAATTTCTGTTACTCAAAGAGCACAACTTTTTCATTGTGATCTCTGATGAATAAACCTTTTTCACTTAATACCTTCCACTATTTTTCTTAGTACTTCAGCATAATACTTTATGTTCCAACCAGGTGCGGTGGCTCATACCTGTAATCCCAGCAATTCAGGAGGCTGAGTCAGGCAGATCTCAGGGTCAGGAGTTTGAGACCAGCTTGACCAATGTGATTCAACCCTGCTTCTACTGAAAATACAAAAATTAGTTGTGTGTGGTGGCGCATGCCTGTAATCTCAGCTACTCGGAAGGCTGAGGCAGGAAAATCGCTTGAACCCAGTCTGGAGTACAATGGCACAATCTTGGCTCATGCCATTGCACTCCAGACTGGGCAATGGAGTGAGACTCTGTCTCAAAAAAAAAAAAAAAATACTGTATGTCCCTTCATTGTCCTGCAAGCTGATGGTAAAGTGTATTATAATTCATTTATGCGCAATCCAAGTAAACGTAGCTTCATTGTGTTCTGTGTGTCTTCTGATTAAGAGCTCAATGCATTTAATCTAGTCTGAAAATGTGCCTGGTGTAAGTCATGTGTGTCGTCTTAAAAAAATTAATAATAAAAAAATATTATATTTTCTTTGGAATAGACTGGCCAAGATGTTACAACAATTCGTTCTTACTTCTTATAATACGTGTTTAGAAGACATTTCAACAAATCCTTTGTGTTCTACTTGATTCTCTGTAAACAGGAATCATGATTTTGGAGGCTGAAAAATTTGCAGCTTGCCAGTGTTGCTGTGAATTGCTCAGTGTGACAGGCAGGGATGAAAGTTCAAGGTGCTGGGCCGGGCGCGGTGGCTCAAGCCTGTAATCCCAGCACTTTGGGAGGCCGAGGTGGGTGGATCACAAGGTCAAGAGATCGAGACCATCCTGGTCAACATGGTGAAACCCCGTCTCTACTAAAAATACAAAAAATTAGCTGGGCATGGTGGTGCACGCCTGTAATCCCAGCTACTCAGGAGGCTGAGGCGGGAGAATTGCCTGAACCCAGGAGGCGGAGGTTGCGGTGAGCCGAGATCGCGCCATTGCACTCCAGCCTGGGTAACAAGAGCGAAACTCTGTCTCAAAAAAAAAAAAAAAAAAAAAAAAAAAAAAAAAAAAAAAAAAGTTCAAGGTGCTTATGGAAGTCGACACATTGCTTACATGAGGCTGTGTTGACGGTGGAAACCGTTTTCTGTTTGGAAGGTTTTGTTTTCTATTATGACTATTCTGATTCTCAATCTTATTTCTCTTCTGTTACTATGAACATTTTCTTGGTGATTATGATTCTTAATGAAATGGTTCTGTATGCTATTTCAACCATCAGAGATTTTTAGTCTCCATAGTTTTATAGGAGAGTTCTTGACATTTTGAGGCTCCTGCCAATCTTTATTCTTTCAATTTCCTTTTTCGGTTTCCACTAAGATACTTTCCATTGAGTTTAAATTTTGGAATGGTCACTAATTGTAGAAAAAAGAATTTATCTGAAATTGAGACATACACAAAAGCAATTCAAATGCATTTAAAAACTGCCACTGTGTTCAGTAGAGCCCTATAATTGTGTAACCAAATTATTCTCATGCTATAAATATTGAATTATTGATGGGATACATGTAGGAGTTTTTCACTGGAAGATTTGTTTCTTCAGGCCACTTTGCTGTATTGGTGGTGATTTTCTATGGTGCTTTATCTGGAACTGTCAGACTTTGTGGAGACAAGATAGATCAGTTCAGGTGTGCATAAATCAGGCAGCCTCATCCCCAATTATACTTACTATTTATAGTAATATTTGGTGTTTGTGTCCTACAAACCCAGGAATTTTGACAAATTTTTAAAATTTTGATAATACATTTTATTTAACCTCCATATCCCAACTAGTATTTCAACATGTAATTAGTATGAAACCATTAGTGAGATATTTTACATTCTTTTTTCACATCAGGTTTTCAGTACCTAGTATTAAAATCACAACACATCTCAATTTGGACTTGCTATATCTTTTTTTAAAAATTATACTTTAAGTTCTAGGGTACATGTGCAGATGTTTGTTTCATAGTTATACACGTGCCAGGATGGTTTGCTGCGTCCATCACCCAATCATCTATGTTAGGTTTTTCTCCTACTGCTACCCATCCTCTAGCCTCCCAACCCCCAACAGGCCCCAGTGTGTGATGTTCCCCTCCCTGTGTCCATGTGTTCGCATTGTTCAACTCCCACTTATGAGTGATAACACGCTGTGTTTGGTTTTCTGTTCTTGTGTCAGTTTGCACCTGAGAATGATGGTTTCCTGCTTCAACCATGTCCCTGCAAAGAACGTGAACTCATGATTTTTTTCTTTGTAATTTAGTCTTTATTTCATAATCATAGACTTAACTCTGAAATCCAGCTAGGCATGGCAAGGAAACAAGGAAAACATAGAATCCAAAGGGAACTGCAGCGAGAGCCCAAAGATTCTAGGATACTGCGAGCCAATGGGGTGGAGGGGTGCTCTCCTGAGCTACAGAAGGAATGGTCTGTGGTTAAGATAAAACACAAGTCAAACTTGTTAGAGTTGTCCACGTCAGCAGTGGTGATCTTCTTGCTGGTCTTGCCATTCCTGGACCCAAAGCACTCCATGGCCTCCACGGTATTCATGCCTCTTTTCACCTTGCCAAAGACTGCATGCTCACCATCCAACCACTCAGTCTTGACAGTGCAGATGAAAAACTGGGAACCGTTTGTGTTTGGTCCAGCATTTGCCATGGACAAGATGCCTGGATCTGTATGCTTTAGGATGAAGTTCTCATCATCAAATTTCTCCCCATAGATGGACTTGCTACCAGTGCCATTATGGTGTGTGAAGTCACCACCCTGACACGTAAACCCTGGAATAATTCTGTGAAAGCAGGAACCCTTATAACCAAACCCTTTCTTTCCAGTGCTCAGAGCACGAAAATTTTCTGCTGTCTTTGGAACCTTGTCTGCAAACAGCTCAAAGGAGTCATGGCCCAAGAGCTGGCTGTCAGTGGTAATGTCAAATAACACAGTGGGGTTTAACTCATCCTTTTTTATGGCTGCATAGTATTCCATGGTGTATATGTGCCACATTTTCTTTATCCAGTCTTTCATTGATGGGCATTTCGGTTGGCTCCAAGTCTTTGCTATTGTGAACAGTGCCATAATAAACATGTGTGCATGTGTCTTTATAGTAGAATGATTTATAATCCTTTGGATATATACCCAGTAATGGGATTGCTGGGTCAAATGGGATTTCTATTTCTAGATCCTTGAGGAATCACCACACTGTCTCCTACAATGGTTGAACTAATTTACACTCCTACCAACAGTGTAAAAGCATTCCTATTTGTCCACATCCTCTCCAGCATCTGTTGTCTCCAGATTTTTTTTAATGATCACCATTCTAACTGGTGTGCAATGGTATCTCAATGTGGTTTTGATTTGCATTTCTCTAATGACCAGTGATGATGAGCTTTTTTTCATGTTTATTGGCCGCATAAATGTCTTCTTTAGAGAAGTGTCTGTTCATATCCTTCACCCACTTATTGATGGGGTTGTTTTTTCTTGTAAATTTAAGTTCTTCGTAGATTCTGGATGTTAGCCCTTTGTCAGATGGTTAGATTGCAAAAGTTTTCTCCCATTCTGTAGGTTGCATGTTCATGGTAATGATAGTTTCTTTTGCTGTTCTGTAGCTCTGGTTTAATTAGGTCTCATCTGTCTATTTTGGCTTTTGTTGCCATTGTTTTTGATGTTTTAGTCATGAAGTCCTTGGCCACGCCTATGTCCTAAATGTTATTGCCTAGGTTTTCTTTTCTTTTTTCTTTTTTTTTTTTTTGAGACAGTTTCACTCTTGTTACCCAGGCTGGAGTGCAATGGCACGGTCTTGGCTCACCGCAACCTCCGCCTCCTGGGTTCAGGCAATTCTCCTGCCTCAGCCTCCCGAGTAGCCGGAATTACAGGCACGCACCACCATGCCCAGCTAATTTTTTGTATTTTTAGTAGAGATGGGGTTTCACCATGTTGACCAGGATGGTCTCGATCTCTTGACCTCGTGATTCACCCGCCTCGGCCTCCCAAAGTGCTGGGATTACAGGCTTGAGCCACCGCGCCCGGCTGCCTAGGTTTTCTTCTAGGGTTTTTATGGTTTTAGGACTTAGGTTTAAATCTTCAATCCATCTTGAGTTAATTTTTGTATAAGGTGTAAGGAAGGGATCCAGTTTCGGCTTTCTGCATATGGCTAGCCAGTTTTCCCAACATCATTTATTAAATAGGGAATCCTTTCCCCATGGGTTGTTTTGTCAGATTTGTCAAAGATCAAATGGTTGTAGATGTGTAGCATTATTTCTGAGGCCTCTGTTCTGTTCCATTGGTCTATGTCTCTGTTTTGGTACCAGTGCCATGCTGTTTTGATTACTGTAGACTTGCAGTATGGTTTGAAGCCAAGTAGTGTGATGCCTCTAGCTTGGCTTCTTTTTTTTTTTTTTTTTTTTTTGCTTAGGATTGTCTTGGCTATGCAGGCTATTTTTTGTTCCATATGAAATTTAAGGTTTTTTTTTTTGTTGTTTTTTTTTTCAGTTCTTTGAAGAAAGTCGATGGTAGCTTGATGGGGATAGCATTGAATTTATAAATTACTTTGGGCAGTATGGCCATTTTCATGATACTGATTCTTCCAAACCATGAGCGTGGAATGTTTTTCCATTTGTTTGTGCCCTCTCTTATTTCCTTGAGTAGTGGTTTGTAGTTCTCCTTGAAGAGGTCCTTCACATCCCTTGTAAGTTGTATTCCTAGGTATTTTATTCTCTTTGTAGCAGTTGTGAATGGGAGTTCACTCATTATTTGACCGTTATTGGTGTATAGGAATGCTTGTGATTTTTGCACATTGATTTTGTATCCTGAGATTTTGCTGAAATTGCTTATCAGCTTAAGGAGATTTTGGGCTGAGATAATGGGGTCTTTTAAATATACAATCATGTCATCTACAAATAGAGACAACTTTACTTCCTCTTTTCCTAATTGAATACCCTTTATTTCTTTTTCTTGCCTGATTGCCCTTGCCAGAACTTCCAATACTATGTTGAATAGGAGTAGTAAGAAAGGGCATTCTTGTCTTGAGCTGGTTTCCAAAGGGAATGCTTGCAGTTTTTGCCCATCCAGTATAATATTGGCTGTGGGTTTGTCATAAATAGTTATTATTATTTTGAGATATGTTCCATTAATACCTAGTTTATTGAGAGTTTTTAGCATGAAGTGCTGTCGAATTTTGTCAAAGGCCTTCTCTGCATCTTTTGAGATAAACGTGGTTTTTGGGTCTTTGGTTCTGTTTATGTGATGGATTATATTTATTAATTTGTATATGTTAAACAAGCCTTGAATCCCAGGGATGAAGCTGACTTGATCATGATGGATAAGCTTTTTGATGTGCTTTGGATTTGATTTGCCAGTATTTTATTGAGGATTTTCACATGGATGTTCGTCAGGGATATTGGTCTGATATTTCCTATTTTAGTTGTATCTCTGCCAGGTTTTGGTATCAGGATGATGTTGGCCTCATAAAAGGAGTTAGGAAGGATTCCCTGTTTTTCTATTGTTTGAAATAGTTTCAGAAGGAATGGTACAGCTCCTCTTTGTACCTCTGGTAGAATTAGACTGTGAACCCGTCTGATCCTGGACTTGTTTTGGTTAGTAGACTATCAATTGCTGCCTCAATTTCAGCACTTGTTATTGGTCTATTCAGGGATTCAACTTCTTCCTAGTTTAGTCTTGTGTGTAAGTGTCCAGGAATTTATCCATTTCTTCTAGATTTTTTGGTGTATTTGCATAGAGATGTGTATAGTATTTTCTGTTGGTAGTTTGTATTTCTCTGGAATTGGTGGTGATATCACCTTTATCATTTTTTATTGCATCTATTTGATTATTATTCTTTATTAGTCTGGCTAGCAGTCTATTTTGTGAGTCTTTTCAGAAAGCCAGCTCCTGTATTCATTGATTTTTTTTTTTTCTTTTTGAAGGGTTTTTTGTGTCTCTATCCCCTTCAGTTCTGCTCTGATCTTAGTTATTTCTTGTCTTCTGATAGCTTTTGAATTTGTTTTTGCTCCTCTAGTTTTCTTTAATTGTGACATTAGGGTGTCAATTTTAGATCTTTCCTCCTTTCTCTTGTGGGTATTTAGTGCTATAAGTTTTCCCCTACATACTGCTTTAAATGTGTCCCAGAGAGTCTGGTATATTGTATCTTTGTTCTCATTGGTTTTAAAGAACATCTTTATTTCTGCCTTCATTTTTTATTTATCTGATTGTAATTCAGGAGCAGGATAAATGTTCAGTTTCCATGTAGTTGTGCAGTTTTGAGTGAGTTTCTTACTCCTGAATTTTAATTTGATTGCACTGTGGTCCAAGAGACTGTTAGGATTTCTGTTCTTTTGCATTTTCTGAGGAATGTTTTATTTCCAATTATGTGATCAATTTTAGAATAAGTGCGATGTGGTGCTGAGAAGAATGTATATTCTGTGGATTTGGAGTGGAGAGTTCTGTAGATTTCTATTAGGTCCACTTGGTCCAGAGCTGAGTTCAAGTCCTGAATATCCTTGTTAATTTTCTGTCTCGTTGATCTAATATTTACAGTGGAGTGTTAAAAATCTCCCACTGTTACTGTGTAGGAGTCTGAGACTGTTTGTAGGTCTCTAAGAACTTGCTTTATGAATCTGGGTGCTCCTGTATTGGGTGCATATATATTTAGGATAGTTAGCTGCTCTGGATGCATTGATCCCTTTAGGTAATGCTCTTCTTTGTCTCTTTTGATCTTTGTTGGTTTAAAGTCTGTTTAATCAGAGACTAGGATTGCTTCATCTACATATTCCTCCATCCATTTATTTTGAGTCTAAGCGTGTCTTTGCACGTGAGATGGGTCTCCTGAATACAGCACACAGATGGGTCTTGACTCTTTTTTTTTTTTTTTTTTTGAGACAGAGTGCTACGCTGTCACCCAGGCTGGTGTGCAGTGGTGTGATCTTGGCTCACTGCAACCTCCGCCTCCTGGGTTAAAGCGATTCTTTTGCCTTAGCTCCTGAGTAGCTGGGACTTTAGGTTTGTGCCACCACACCCAGCTAATGTTTTTGTATCGTTTAGTAGAGGTGGGGTTTCACCATGTTGGCAAGGATGGTCTTGATCTCTTGACCTTGTGATCTACCCACCTTTGCCTCCCAAAGTGCTGGGATTACAGGCGTGAGCCACTGCACCCAGCCTGGGTCTTGAGTCTTTATCCAGTTTGTCAGTCTTTTTCTTAGGGCATTTAGGCCATTTACATTTAAAGTTAATATTGTTATGTGTGAATTTGATCCTGTTGTTATAATGCTAGCTGGTTATTTTGCTTGTTGATGCAGTGTCTTCATATTGTCAGTGGTCTTTACAATTCGGTATGTTTTTGCAGTGTCTGGTACCAGTTTTTCCTTTCAATGTTAGGTGCTTCCTTTAGGCACTCTTGTAAGGCAGGCCTGGTGGTGACAAAATCTCTTAGCCTTTGCTTGTCTGTAAAGAATTTTATTTCTCCTTCACTTAAGCTTAGTTTGGCTGAATATGAAATTCTAGGTTGAAAATTCTTTCCTTCAAAAATGTTGAATATTGACCCCCACTCTCTTCTGGCTTGTAGGGTTTCTGCTGAGAGATCTGCTGTTAGTCTGATGGGCTTCCCTTTGTGGGTAACATAAGCTTTCTCTCTGACTGCCTTTAGCATTTTTTCCTTCATTTCATCCTTGGTAAATCTAATGATTATATGTCTTGGGATTGCTCTTCTTGAGGGTTATCTTTGTGGTGTTCTGTGTGTTTCCTGAATTTGAATGTTGGCCTGCCTTGCTAAGTTGGGGAAGCTCTCCTGGATAATATCCTGAAGAGTGTTTTCCAACTTAGTGCCATTTTCCCCATCACTTTCTGTTACACCAGTGAAATACAGATTTGGTCCTTTCACGTAGTCTCATATTTCTTTGAGGCTTTGTTTATTTATTTTCACTCTTTTTTTCTCTAGTCTTCTTGCTTTATTTCATTGTCTTGATCTTCAATCTCTGATACTCTTTCTTCTACTTAATCAATTTGGCTACTGATACTTGTGTATGCTTCACAAAATTCTCGTGCTGCATTTTTGAGCTCCATGAAGTCATTTATGTTCTTCTCTTAACTGGTTATTATAGTTAGCAATTTGTCTAGCCGTTTTTCCAGGTTCTTAGCCTGCTTGTGTTGGGTTAGAACATGTGCCTTTGACTCAGAGGAGTTTGTTATTACCCACTGAATTATTACCTTCTGAATCCTACTTCTGTCAATTTGTCAAACTAATTCTCTGTCCAGTTTTGTTCCCTTGCTGGCAAGGAGTTGTGATCCTTTGGAGGAGAAGAGGCATTCTGGCTTTTGGAATTTTCAGCCTTTTTGTGCTATTTTCTCCCCATCTTGGATTTATCTATTTTTGGTCTTTGATGTTGGTGATCTTTGGATGAGGTCTCTGAATGGACATCTTTTTTGTTGATGTTGATACTGTTTCTTTTTGTTCGTTTTCCTTCTCACAGTTGGGTCTCTGCTGGAGTTTTCTGGGGGTCCTTTCCAGATCTTGTTTGCCTGGGTATCACCAGAGGAGATATCACCAGAACAGCAAAGATTGCTGCATGTTCCTACCTCTGGAAGCTTTGCCCAGAGAGTCACCTGTCAGATGCCAGGCAGAGCTCTCCTGTATGAGGTGTCTGTCAGTCTGTAATGGGAAGTGTCTCCCAGTCAGCATACATGGGGGTCAGGGACCCACTTTAGGAGGCAGTCTGTCCCTTATCAGAGCTCAAATGCTGTGCTAGGAGATGTGCTGCTCTCTTCAGAGCTGTCAGGCAGGGACATTTAGGTCTGCTGAAGCTGCACCCACAGCCACCCCTTTCCTCAGGTGCTCTGTCCCAGGGAGATGGGGGTTTTTATCTCTACATTCCTAACTGGGGCTGCTGCTTTTTTTTTTTTTTTTTTTTTTTTTTTCCCCAGAGATGCCCTGCCCAGAGAGGGGTAATCTAGAGGCAGTCAGAGTCCAGCCTTGCTCAGCTCAGTTTGAGCTTCACTGTGGCTCTGTTTACACTGTGAGGGGGAAACCTGCCTACTCAGGCCTCAGCAATGGCAGATGCGCCTCCCCCACCAAGCTCAGGCTTCCCAGTTTGACCTCAGACTGTTGTACTGGCTGCAAAAAGTTCAAGCCAGTGGATCTTAGCTTGCTGGGCTCTGTTGGGGAAGGACCTACCGAGTCAGACCACTTGAGTCCTTGGCTTCAGCCCCCTTTCCAGGGGAGTGAACAGTTCTGTCTCGCTGGCATTCCAGGTACCTCTGGGGTATGAAAAGAAAACAACTCCTGCGGCTAGCTTGGAGTCTGCCTGAAGCGCTGCCCAGTTTTGTGCTTGAAACCAGGGCCCTGGGGTGTAGGCACCGGAGAGAATCTCCTGGTCTGCTGCTTGCGAGGACTGTGGGGAAAATGCAGTGTCTGGGCCTGAGTGTGCTATTCCTCTCAGGTGTCTCTCATGGCTTCTCTTGGCTAGTAGAGGGAAATCCCCCGACCCCTTGCACTTCCCAGGTGAGGAAATGCCCCACCTTGCTTTGGCTTACCCTCTGTGGGCTGCACCCACTGTCCAGCAAATCCCGGTGAGATGAACTGGGTACCTCAGTTGGAAATGCAGAAATGACTTGCCTTCTGCGTCGATCTTGCTGGGAGCTGCAGACAGGAGCTTTTCCTGTTCAGCCATCTTGCTAGCTCTCATGAAAACTGATTTTTTATTTTAAAAAACAAAGAAAGGGGCCAGGCATGGTGGTTAATGCCTGTAGTTCCAGCACTTTGGGAGGCCAAGGTGGGCAGATCACTTGAGGTCAGGAGTTCGAGACCAATCTGACCGATGTAGTGAAACCCTGTCTCTATTAAAAATATAAAAATGAGGTGGGCATGGTGGTGCATGCCTGTAGTCTCAGCTATTTGGGAAGCTGAGGTGGGAGGATCACTTGAGTCTAGTAGGCAGAGGCAGTGAGCCAAGATTGTGCCACTGCAATCCAGCCAGGCAACAGAGTGAGACTCTGTCTCAAAAAAAAAAAAAAATAAAATAAATAAATAAAAAAGGAAATTAATTTAAGGAGCATATACTTAACTAAAAGATAGTTTTAAAAGAACAGCTGCCTACAGTCATAACATTAGCAGAAATCACTTTAGCATTTTTGTGTTGATTGCTTTGCTCCACCAAGAATTTCTGTGAAACACCTGGAATGCTCATTTTTTTTTTTAATCTTCAGCTTTTAAGTATAGGGTACAGGTGCAGGATGGGTAGATATCTTATGTAGGTGCCATGGTAGCTTGCTGCACAGATCAACCCTTCACCTAGGCCTTAAGCCCAGCATCCATTGGCTGTTCATCCTGATGCTTTTCCTCCTCCCCACCCACCTCCCGATGGGCCCCAGTGTGTGTTGGTCCTTTCTGTGTGACCATGTGTTCTCATCATTCAGCTCCCACTGTTAAGTGAGAACACGTGGTGTTTGGTTTTCTGTTCCTGCATTAGTTTGCTGAGGATAATGCCTTCTAGCTCCATCTATGTCCCTGCAAAGGATGTGATCTCTTTCCTTTTCATGGCTGCATAGTTGTAATACCAAATCTGATGCATGTTATTACTGTTATTTTTTGAGACAGGGTCTTGCTGTGTCACCCAGGCTAGAGTGCAGTGGTGTCATTATGGCTCACTGCGGCCTCGACCTCCCAGGCTGAAGAGATCCTCCCATATCAGCCTCCCAAGTAGCTGGGACTACAGGCATTTGCCACCACACCCAGTTAATTTATTTATTTTTTGTGGATTTTCACCACGTTTCTCAGACTGGTCTCAAACTCCAGGACTCAAGTGATTCTTCAGCTTCAGCCTCCCAAAGTGCTGGGATTACAGGCATGAGCCACTGTGCCTGGCCACATCTTATTTTTAAATGAAGTTTTAATAAGATCTCAGTTATATGCTTCATCTCAAGTGATTATTTAGCTCCAAAACAAATCAAGTTCCTTCCAAGTACAAAAGAACATATGTTTGAAGGCAGTGGAGGGGGGGGGGGGTTGTGGAGAATATAGCATGCTCCAGCAAAATGATAACTTAACGTTTTGAAAGACTTGTAGTCAAAGAAACTATGACTCATTATCCCGGATGTGATGGCAGGTATGGGGCATTGAAGCCCCCATTCCCACTTACTCCCATTTTAAAGTTAGAATCAGGAGGAAAATGGGTATTAAGATAAATAATTTTGCTGTGTCACAGTTTGGCTAAAAGACATTGTACCTGGCAAGGATGCAAATGATTTATACACTGTCCACTCTTGAAGCTTAAACCAGTTCTGTGATAGATTTTTGGGGGGTAAAGGGAGGAAACAGCCAGGATGAGGATTGAATATATTTGAAAGGAGATTCAAAGTGATGTTCGTTGAACACTTCTCTTTGGAAAAGCAAAAAAAAAATCAAAGGCTCTCTTAAAGACTGTACAAAAAATGATTTATTGGAGATATCCCTTGCCTGCAAGCTCTAAGCTCTAATATTAAGCCTCCCAATATAATGCAAGTTATATTGGTATAGAAAATGGGAAGGAGCAGGCATATTTATTATGTATGAGCATGAATAATTTTTATGTTTATTGCTTTCCCACTTCAGATCATGTTGGAATTTTAAACTTTTGACCAAAAGCTCTTTGGTTTTACAGAAAATATAGAACAGGTACATAAAATGTAATATATGTATTGTATATGTTTTTAATAGTATAAAGTAATTTTAAGGTTATACAATTTAAAATAATTGGAAATTCTAGTTTGTTATGAGTTAGATAATTTTGTGGTAACTTGTGAGTGTGTTTATTTAGCAATTACAGTGACCATGAGGGGACTCACTAGTTTGACACACTTTCCTTTTGAGTACTTTTTTTAAAAAGTATTTTAAAAATTGGTTTCTTTGAAAGTTTTAATTGACTTTTTTGGTACATATTTATGGGATATATAGTGATGTTTTGGTGCGTATAATGTTTTCTGATCAGATCAGAGTAATTAGCATATCATCTTGAACATTATTTTTTTGGGGGTGGACATTAAATATTCTCTTTCTAGCTATTTGAAATTACATATTACTGTTTTAACTATAGTCATTCTACAATACTGTAGAACTCTAGAATGAACTCCTCCTATCTAGCTGTAATTTTGCATCCTTTAAGAAACCTCTTCCGGATCCAAAATGGCTGAATAGGAACAGCTCTGGAATGCAATTTCTAGCGAGAATGCAGAGGTCACCACAGGTGATCCCCAGGCAAGCAGGGTCTGGAGCAGACCTCCAGCAGTCCTACAGCAGAGGGGCCTGACTGTTACAAGGACAACTAAAAAAGAAATAACTTCATCATCAACAAAAAGGACGCCCACTCAGATACCCCATCCGAAAGTCACCAACTACAAAGACCACAGGTAGATAAATCCACAAAGATGGGAAGAAACCAGCATAAAAAGGATGAAAACACCCAAAGCCAGAACACCTCTCCTCCTCCAAGGGATCACAACTCCTCATCAGCTAGGGATCAAAGATGGAGAATGAATCTGATGAATTGACAGAAACAGGCTTCAGAAGGTGGGTAATAATGAACTTCTCAGAGCTCAAAGAATATGTGCTAACCCAATCCAAAGAAACTAAGAACCTAGAAAAAAAGGTTAGATGAGATGCTAACTAGGATAAACAGAGAATAATAGAAATGACTTGATAGAGCTGAAAAACACAGCATGAGAACTGTGCAAAGCATACATAAGTTTCTATAGCCAAATTGACCAAGCAGAAGAAAGGATATCAGAGATTGAAGATCAACTAAATGAAATAAAATGAGAAGGCAAGATTAGAGAAAAAATAGTGAAAAGAAATGAACAAAGCCTTCAAGAAATATGGGATTATGTATAATAATAATTACACATATATAATCTATGTTTGATAGGCGTACCCGAATGTGACAGAGAGAATGAACCCAAGCTGGAAAACACTTTTCAGGATATTATCCAGGAGAACTTCTCCAACCTAGCAAGGCAGGCCAATATTCAAGTCCAGGAAATACAGAGAACACCACAAAGACACTCCTCAAGAAGAGCAACCCCAAGGCACATAATTGTCAGATTCACCAGGGTTGAAATAAAGGGAAAAATACTAATGGCAGCCAGAGAGAAAGGTCAGATTACCCCCAAAGGGAAGCCCATCAGACCCATAGCGGATCTCTCAGCAGAAACCCTATAAGCCAGAAGAGAGTGTGGGGCCAATATTCAACATCCTTAAAGAACTTTCAACTTAGAACTTCATATCCAGCCAAACAAAGCTTCATAAGTGAAGGAGAAATAAAATCCTTTATGAACAAGCAATTGCTGAGAGATTTCCTCACCACCAGGCCTGCCTTACAAGAGCTCCTAAAAGAAGCACTAAATATAGAAAGGAACAACCAGTACCAGCCATTTGAAAAACATACCAAACGGTAAAGAGCATTGAAACAATGAAGAAACTGGGTCAACTAATGGGCAAAACAACCAGCTAGCATCAAAATGGCAGGATCAAATTCACACACAACAATATTAACCTTAAATGTAAATGGGCTAAATGCCCCAATCAAAAGACACAGACTGACAAATTGGATAAAAAGTCAAAACCCATTGGTACATTGTATCCAGGAAACCCATCTCATGTGTAAGGATACACATAGGCTCAAAATGAAGGAGTAGAGAAAGATTTACCAATCAAATGGAGAGAGAGAGAAAAAAAAAAAGGAGTTGCAATCCTAGTCTCTGATAAAATAAACTTTAAACCAACAAGATCAAAAGAAACAAAGAAGGGCATTATATAATGGTAAAAGGATCAGTGCAACAAGAAGAGCTGATGATCCTAAATATATACATACCCAATACAGGAGCACCCAGATATATAAAGCAAGTTCTTAACGACCTACAAAGAGACTTCAACTCGCACACGATAATAGTGGGAGACTTTAACACTCCACTGTCAATATTAGACAGATTGACAAGACAGAAAATTAACAAGGATATCCAGGTTTTGAACTCAGGTCTGGACCAAGCAGACCTAATTGACAATTACAGAACTCTTCATTCCAAATCCACAGAATATACATTCCTCTCAGCACCACATCGCACTTACTCTAAAACTGACCACATAATTGGAAGTAAATCACTCCTCAGCAAATGCAAAAGAACAGAAATCACAACAGTCTTTCAGACCACAGTGCAATCAAATTAGAACTCAGGATTAAGAAACTAACTCAGAACCGCACAACTTCATGGAAACTGAACAACTGCCTCCTGAATGTCGACTGGACAAACAATGAAATGAAGGTAGAAATAAAGATGTCCTTTGAAACCAACAAGAATGAAGACACAACATACCAGAATCTCTGGGACACATTTAAAGCAGTGTCTAGAGGAAAATTTATAGCAATAAATGCCCACATGAGAAGCAAGGAAAGATTTAAAATTGATACCCTACCATCAAAATTTAAAGCTAGAGGAGCAAGATCCAAAAACCTCAAAAGCAAGCAGAAGAAAAAAAATAAGATCAGAGCAGAACTGAAGGAGATAGAGACACAAAAAACCGTTCAAAAAATCAATAAATCCAGGAACTGGTTTTTGAAGAGATCAACAAAATAGACCACTAGCCAGATTAATAAAAGAAGAAGAATCAAATAGATGTGATAAAAAATAATAAAGGGGATATCAGCACAGATTCCATGGAAATACAAACTACCATTAGAGATTACTACAAACAACTCTATGCACAGAAACCAGTAAGCCTGAAGAAATGGATCAATTCCTGGACACTTGCACCCTCCCAAGCCTAAACGAGGAAGAAGGTGAAACCCTGAATAGACCAATAAGGGCTGAAGTTGAGGCAGCAATTAATAACCAAAAAAAGTCCAGGTCCAGGTGGGTTCACAGCTGAATTCTGCCAGACATAGAAAGAAGAGCTGGTACCACTCCTTCTGAAACTATTTCAAACAATCCAAAAAGAGGGAATACTTCCCAAATCATTTTATGAGACCAACATCATCCTGATACCAAAACCTGGCAGAGACTCAACAAGAAAAGAAAACTTCAGGCCAGTATCCATGATAAACATAAATGCAAAAATAAAATACTGGTAAACTGATTGCAACAGCACATCAAAAAGCTTATCCATTATGATCAAGTTGGCTTCATCCCTGGGACGCAAGGCTGGTTCAACATATGCAAGTCTATAAATGTAATTTGCCACATAAACAGAACCAAAGACAAAAACAACATGATTATCTCGGTAGATGCAGAGAAGGCCTTTGACAAAATTCAACAGCCCTTTATGCTAAAAACTCAATAAACTAGGTATTAATGGAATGCATCTCAAAATAACAAAAGCTATTTATGACAAACCCACAGCCAATATCATACTGAATGGGCAAAAACTGGAAGCATTCCCTTTGATAGCTGGCCCTAGACAAGGATACCCTCTCTCACCACTCCTATTCAATATAGTATTGGAAGGTCTAGCCAGAGGGATCAGGCAAGAAAAAGAAATAAACGGTATTCAGTTAGCAAAGGAGGAAGTCAAACTGTCTCTTTTTGCAGATGACATGATTGTATATTTAGAAGACCCAATTGTCTCAACCCAAAATCTCCTTAAACTGATAAACAACTTCAGCAAAATCTCAGGATACAAAATCAATGTGCAGAAATCACAAGCATTCCTACACATCAGTAACAGACTAACAGAGAGCCAAATCAAGAACGAACTGCCATTCACAATTGCTACAAAGAAAATAAAATACCTAGGAAGACAACTAACAAAGGATACAAAGGACCTCTTCAATGAGAACTACAAACCACTGCTCAAGGAAATAAAAGAGGACACAAACAGATGGAAAAACATTGTATGCTCCTGGTTAGGAAGAATCAATATTGTGAAAATCGCCATACTGCCCAAAGTAATTTATACGTTCAATGTTATCCCTATCAAGCTACCTATGACACTGTTTACAGAACTGGTAAAAAACCACCGTAAACTTCATATGGAAACAAAAGAGGGGCCGCATAGCCAAGACAATCCTAAGTAAAAACAAAGCTGGAGGCATCATGCTACCTGACTTCAAACTATACTA